AGCGCAATTATTTGATAGACAGCACACAAACGGACATCTGCGCTGACGAACATACTCGATTATTACATATAATGGAAAAGATTTGTAGCTCAGGTGGATGATTCTGATGTAGTTGTGTCCTCTAGGCTGGATGGGTTATTTGCGAACTTTCATCGCCTACTAGGCAACATCTTCATTGTATACTTCAATTTGAGCTTTTAGATTTCTCCACGAGTTTATAAGTCATCTCTCCTGGTGACCTTAGACGTGATTGGTTGTTTTTTTTGTGTGTTTTCACACCCTCCAGGTTACTTGTATTGATGTTGATTGTCTCCGTGATCTGAAGTTTGACCCTTTGTATGCGAGATTTCCTTCTCACAATACTCCAAATGTAACGACAGAAGGCAAGAGTCAGGCAACAGATTGTTTATTAATGAAATCAACACATATTTATAGATTTTCGTGTACATTATTATAGATTATCGTTAGCTGACAAACACAGTTTTCTGATTGGTTGTTTCTCACTAAAAGTCAATCTTTCATCTGTATGTTGCTGTCTCTTGAGTGTCAGATCATCTATCTGCTAATTGTATCCGCCTACGCAAAGTATGCTGTCCATCTTTGATCTTGTTTTCACATGACTAATATTTGAGACATAAACAATGACGTCAATTACTGTCTACCAGTTTGGCTAGCAGCCATCTCTCACCACACAAATACTCAATTACAACAGCAACAACCCAATTATATACAAAATCTATTCAAGGGAGCCAGGCCTCATTGTACCACTTCTGCCGCAAGGAAAATTGAAGAAAAACATCTCATGGACGTCTTCCAAAAGAATGAATACCCACGAAACTTCATCAAAATACATCTACCCACAAGCCAACCTACCAAATCAAAGGCCCCTAAGGAAAGCACAACGAAAATAGCCCTACCACATATAAAGGACATCTAAGAAATCAAATTGAAGTATACACTGAAGATGTTGCCTAGTAGGGCAATAAAAGTTCGCAAATAACCCATCCAGCCTAAAGAACACAACTACATCAAAATACTGCATAATCAATACGCAGTTTCCTATTGGTTAGTTAGTTCATACATCTCTGTCTGTAAGTGAACATCAATAAACAAATTGCGTTAGACGTTTAGTTTCTTTCCCTACACTTAAATCATACATATCAGTACTTGGCGTATATAAAGCAAGTTCAAAGAACTGATGATTTGCATTTTCCGCATCCTGTGAAACAACACTCACAATCGATACTGTTATCTCATCATTAAGGAATTCAGATGGTTACTGAAAACTGAAGCTAATATAATCTAGTTACTAATAAAAAAATCACTCAAACAGGTGATGAGTACTACTTTAGATATTTGCTCCATATGAATCAATGAAGACACACATAAATTTTATTTTCAAATTGAATAGGTAGATAGTTTCAGTATATTGACTATCAGGAAAGACCCATTTGACAAGCCAATATTTGCAGCTGTGTATGCATGACTAACGAAATTGGTTAGGATAGAAATTCTACTCCGGTTGTATATTAAATCATCAAAAAAATGCACCCAACGAAAGCATCTGTAAATGAATAATACTATGGAGGAAACATTGATCTCCCTCGATCATACCAAGCAGCGTACTTCATTGAAAATGAAAGTTAAAGACTCACATTGACTAAATTACAAAATAAATACTAACTAATAAGACCGCATACATCTATGTGCTAAGATTTGATCGACGTGTTCTCCACGATGGCTCACTACACATCACAACTATGTGTACTGAAGTGAAATTGAACATCAACTCACCAGTTAGGTGAGCATTGTGTAACTGAAAATGTGAGTCAGCTACATAGGAATGAAAAAATTAGATAATACACAGAATGAAGTATAAGTATTGTTAGTAACTTAAGAAGTCCGGTAAATACATTCACACGATAATGAGCAATAAATATTGCTCCAAACTTCATTCAGTTATTAATACTGTGAGTGGTGTGAAATAAATTTACGTAATATTAAAATAAGATCTTTCATAGTGCCAAGATTCCAATCATACCCTGGATGATATCCTGATTCTTTAGCTTAAATTAGAAAGAAGAAAACAGCAGTTAACGACCATAGGCAAAAATATGGAAAAACCTATGCTACATATACGGTTGTAGTCACATTTCAATCTGAAAGACTTTAAATCATAAGTATTGACTGAACACTTCATCTGTGATCTATATTACGTTTACTGTGTTACAGTCACAAGAAATTTACAAAACATTACTTCATGAACCGGTACGAGCCTTTCTGCTGCAATAGGCCACAAACAATACCATGAGACATCATCTCCTTCACACACACACGATCTCCTCCATGTCAAAATTGGACCAACGACCAACTCATCGTTTCCCATTCCAACTGTACTCGAGGGCTTAGCGTGCGATGTCAACCGATGGTCTCCTCGGCGTGTGTCCGATCAATCACCATTTTCCTCTACATATCTGCTGAGCACTAGGTTCTTGAGTGCTTCGTTCTCAGGGTTTCTTCTTACTAATTCTTTTCGGTCATCTGATTTTCAGTGCCGAATGAAGGCAGCCGCTGATGAAGGTCTGCAGTCCGTTAGAAATACCTTTGGTGACGCACCAAGTTTCTGACTCGTATAGAAAAACTGACTGACTTAACATTGATGTTGAAAATCTAAGTTTTGTTCTTTATAGTGACTGTAGAAGAATTCCAAATTGACTTCAGAGTACTGTCTAGATACGACTATCAGACAACAGTTAATGCTACAGACTACTAAGACTTATTCAATGAAACTGATGAATTCAGAGGTAGACTTTAACATCACTCAACTGGTACACTATGGCCGTAACTTCAATTGCTATAGTACGTCAATCCTCACATTTCAAGACCATACGAAACAGGAGAGACAGTGAGAATATTTGTTATGCAGTTCAGATATTTACGAAGTGGTAGTCTTATTATGGTAAACAGATCCATAGATAACATTGATTAAAATCTTGCGAAAAACCTCAAAGAGGATATCAACACTTCAAAATACTAAACTAAACAGTTTATACTTCACTGGCTGGTGCTATTGCTTTGTAAAAAAAGATCAAGGAGAATTATGCAGTCGATCTTCATATACCCATGAACCACCAAGAATAGGACCCAGTACATTCATGTTGAAAGGGGAGCTTGTAGATCATTCAATCATTGAGTCGGAATACAATGACACATCAAATCTAACTTCTGCTTATTCGTAATATTCAGCGTAACCTCAAGTCAATGTCATCAGCGTGTAATTGTCCTCACACCTAACTGGTCACAACGTCCCACTAAAACTTTAGACATTGAGAGCAGAAGATATGAAAAGATTAGCTGTGTTCGATCATAGGTGTCTGCATTGTATCTCCCGTGTGAAGTGGTATAATAAAGTGAGCAATATTGAGGTTAGGCGTCGAGTGCTAGGTAAGGCGGGGAATCAATCGACGAAACTGTGAAATTACTCCGACTGAGATGGTTAGGACATGTGTTACGTATGCATTCCTAGCCATCGCCTTCCTCGACGGGCAATGTTAGCTGATATAGGGTCAGGCTGGAAAAGAGCTAGCGGCGGTCAAACGAAAACATGGCACCAGTCAATGAAATCTACAACAGTTAGTCTAAGCCACATAGGAAGGTGTAGACTTCCTGATTGGTTGGGGTCTTCGGGACGGTAAAAACCAATGGTTGGAAACAATTGGTGACATGGCTCAAAATCGTTCTCAATGGCGCAGATGCATCCACTCCTTGTGACTTATGATTTCCAATTAAACTGTTTTGTTCTCCGTTATTACTATTCCTTTGTCTCACACCTCTGTTTACTGACTATATTATGCATTTCTTCTACTTTCTTCTCTTGCTTTGTGTGCTACATGGAGGGAGTGTGGCGACTTGAACTGCCGCACATATGTGCAAAGTTCTATGTCGAAAACCGACCGACCGAGACAACTTCATCCTGCAGTCAGTCAATAGTGAGCACTAGACTAATTTTCAAGTGTTGGTTTGCAGGGATTTGATTGCTTTCAAGTTTGACCAAGAATTGAATTTTACTGAAGAACAACTGAATATCAGGAAATACCGGGCAGGTGTTTCGTCCTAGTTTGGCACTCTTCATCAGTACATGTCCATGACCTCACAAGAAACCAAACACAGAACCTTCAGGTTACAAGGCTAGCTCATTTATCATTCAGCCACTGGAACAGAACCGAATGGTGTATCAATTCTTACTTTGAATTAATAATTAAGCTGACATTAAATAATGTTGTTACAAGGATAACATTTAGTGATTAGCTATCAGTTTTCTAATCTACATTTTAAACATCCATCTATAATTACATAAACATACTGAAAACTAGAACCGATTAATTTATTAGTATCTAGTTCATAAATATGGGTAAAAAAATATTTATGCATAATCAGACGTGAACACATGATTTATGTATAACTGTACTGGTCCAGTTTAGAAACCATGTTTACATATAGACGTATCCAATCTACATGTGTAAACCCATAATTCTGACCTTATCACATACTCGGATTACACAAACATCTAATTAAATAGAATGAATGAGCTTAAGGTCATTCAGTCTTACATCTATCCATTTAACGTATATACTACACAGGCGCTAACATACTTACGCACACACACACACACACAAACACGCATATGATCGACTATTATAAACACACCAAATGACATCATACATAGCTTCTATTAATCACAACTCTAGACTATCGAAAAATTCTAGGTCAAGGTAAATCTATACGCAATGGGAGGGACATGAATAATGTGAGACTGATTGAAATTAAAGTGTGAAAATTAAATGTGACTGCATATATAAAGAATAATAGTTCAGTGGAAAATAAATAAGTGCATATAAATTTTATACTTTATACACTTTATGAATAACCTTGACCTTTCGGGATGCATAAACTAACAAAACAGAGACAGAATGTGAGTGGTAAGAATAAAAATTAACAATTTCTTATACAGTACACATTTTGCGTGATGTGTTATTATTATCACCTTGTATTCCGCGTGCAGAATAGGCCTCACAATAGAACATCTTCATTTCATCCTGTTCTCTGCAGTCCTTTTCAGCTGACTCCATGACTACCAATCAGCTCTCATCTCCTCTATGCCACCACCTTGGACCAACTCAGCGTTTCCCATTCGAAGACCTGCTTGGCGTGTGAGGTCACCTAATAATCTTCTCAGCGCATGTCCAATCTACCTCCATTTCCTTCGGTATATGCGTTGGGCAATAATTTCTTATTTGGTTTGTTGCTTGTTGCTAGTTTTTCCTGGCTATATGGTTTTCATTAAGGGAGCAAAGGCATCAGTTATCATAAAATCATCTAATTAAACGACACACAAATCAATAAGGAATATTATTAATTCGTATACTTATTCTCTAAGATGCAATTCTTAAAAAACAGTATAACGGACCATCTACACAGTGTATAGGAAGAGATGAGAAATACTCATATGCATATAGATATATATGGTATATTTATTCATAAATTACTTGTAATCTCTAGGTAAAAGGGAAGTAATATAATCAGGTACACAATGTAAAACAATCTCCCACTTTCACCAATTAAATTATTGACATTAATCAATTAAAAATGAATAGTTTTCACAAGAACAAAGGAAAGAAAAAGAGAACTATGCTTTTGTAAACGAATAAGGACATAACAATGTAGGAAAATTCAATATATGTATAAACGATGAATACGAAAAGTAAGAAGTCAGTGAAACATATCAGCGAAAATATCAGCTGGAAAAAAATTCCAGACAATAAAATATATATATGTATGTATATATGCACTTCACAATGATTATTACACACACAAATAAAAACATTGCCTGAGAGACATAAATCGAAAAAGTGAAATAAGAGATCAAGTGAAATTTATATATATGTATCTAATGAAATGAAAAGGTGCAATAGGCATTGACAACAATTCATTATGACATAATTTAACCGACAAATCACTGACACAGGTAGTAATACTAATAATAATGCCATGATGAAGTGAACAAACTGGTTAAATGTGATATGAGAAAGCTACATAACTGACACTGACACCATCACAACCGCCACCGCCACCACCACAATAACAACAACGACAAATGGACTATTATCTAATTTATATGCGTATACACTACACAGGAAACAAAAAAGTGTTCAAAGTAGTCATGGTAGTTTGATTGAATTTCTAAATGCTTAAAAACAACAATCTCAATATATGTATGTATGTATATATATTTTGTACATGTGTAAAATAAATCGCAAACCCAATCAAAGCAGGCAACCGGGGTTAGCAGCTGTCACCTCTAATTATGTGTCTAATTATATGCTTGTTATCTAGTGAAATATGAATGGTTACTACACAGAAGGTTGGATCAAACGGACACAATCATCATCATAATAATAATATTGATAAAAATTAAGAAACTAACGTCAACTGACAACAAAACATTGACGATGATGATGATAATGATAACAATAATAAAGGCGCCCTGAAGCGAAAACATACAGAAGAAGTGCAAAAAAGGGAACTTTTAGTTGTTGAGTGTAAATTAATACTAATAATTCATATGATAGAGGAATATACAAATCGTAAACAGTAGTGGCGCGAACACTGAAAGTTATGTAATTACAACAGAATATCATCCATACATAAACACAAAAACACAGCACAAGAAGAGAATATCCGTTCAAATAAAAAATGAATGTATGCGTGTTTGTGTGTGTGCGTTATCTATAGAATATACAACTGATAATAATGAAGAAAGTTATACAGCGCGCTTGATAAACAAAAAAGTATACACAAACAAGGAAATGTATAAGCAAACAAGGAAGTAAAATGGATTTTCATAAATAAAAAAAGAATTAATTTAAATTAGGATATATATATATATATATGTATATATCGACCTGAAGTTATTTTAAACTGCCCAGTCAAACGAATAACTCATGTTTGAAACGAAAGTATGTTACGCGATAAGAGGAAATAGGAGGAGGGGGGGCGGGAGGAGGATGAATAAGTGACAATAGGACATTTTTTTATAAAAACAACAACACTAAGACAATACATTATGTAAAAACAGAGAAAAAAGTCAAATAATAAGTTATACAAGTATCAAGAAAGAGTAAGGCAATGTAAGTAAGCAGCGAAAATATATGCATCTACAAACAACAACAACAATAATAATAATAGTAATATTAATCATAATATGGAATGATAAACTATATGAAAGGGTAGAATAAACTGGTCACTACGCTTTGATTACTTTGTCTAACGGAGAGAATAAAAAATAGGTCAAAAGAAATACAATAATAATAATAAATTATGAACGGTGGTGAAGGGAGTAAGTTAATAATCTGACCATCAAATGAATAATACATTCATACACCTGATAAATGTAATTACGGTTTTACTTATACATATATAGGACTGAAAGTGTAACAGCTTATACGTCTAATTTCACACTAAACACATGAAGCTAAAAGGATAGGATGGGATAGGATAGCACACAGCTGTGAATTCAGATGAAACACATTTTAAGGAGGGGGTAGTAGGGGGTGGGGGAAAATAATTCAATGAGTTTGTTAAGTACATAGCTGTTATTTTATTATTTGAATTTATGTTGAATGAATGTACGAAAGACGTCGGAAAATAATTTTTACTAGGAAAAGAATCCTTCTAAATGATAAATTTGTGAAAATATTGACAATTTTTCGCTGTGTTGTGCGTTAAATTTAGCTTACAGATGTGCAAGGATGATCTGGAGAACCCATTTGACTAAGTACTCGATCAAGCCACTGTAATGGACCATTCAAATGAATTTCAATCCAACATGGAGTACTGGTTACAGTTTGTCGACTAAAATAGAAGAAAGAGAGAAAAAACAACAGGTGAAATAAATAGAATACTGTTTCGTCGGAAAGTACTACGGATATTAAAAAAAAGCTAAAATGGAACACTATACGAGATAAATGAAACTGTTACAGAAAGAGTAGAGACCAAGAGAAAAAGAAAATTTCGAACATCAATGAAAAATACCCATTGAATGATGAATTCAGTTGAGTTTTTTACATTTAACCTCATTATTTTTTTTTTTTTTTTTTTTTTATTACACCGTATTTTCAGTACAAGTGTGGAACTTTCAGCATGGATAGTATGGATATAATCAATACATAGATGACGGGAATCTAGGTATCACTGAAAAAAGTTATTACATCTAAAAATACTTGACAAATATTAAATGGAATACTCTGACTTATAATTGGCTGGAATATTTCTCAAATTCTCTATGCAGTATTAACCATAGCATAGTGCAGATTTTAGTTGTTACGACTTCATTCAAATGTACGCGGAAATCGTAACTAATGTTAATCGGTGTGCAAAAAGCATTCATCACAGATTATATATGACAAGCAACCTAAAGACAATTTGTGTGACTAAAAGCCAGAATACTCCTGCTAATTTAGTTTTATTATTATTACTGCAGTCATAACGCTCAATATCTAGCGTATAATTGTGCAATAAAAAATTTCAAAATAACCAGAATAGAACACAACGATAAATAATATGGTCAAGTGTTGGTTTACGGGGATTTGATTGGTTATAGGAGTTCATCATGAGCTGACATAGATCAGAGAACCAATAGAAAATATAGGAGTACTGGACAGCGGTTTTGTCCTAGTTTAGACTCTTCATCCCCATGCACCCACCACAGGGGGTTCGAACCCAGGACCTTCAGGTTACAAAGCGAGCTCATAGACCATTAGGCCACTGGGACCCGATCCAATCGCGCTATATCGTGAATTGATAGAAGTTGGAACTCATGGGCTGGCCATTGGATCAGGTCCCAATGGCTTAATGGTCTACGTGCTCGAACCCCAGTGGTGGGTTCATACGGATGAAGAGTCCCAAACTAAGATGAAACAGCCATCCAGTAATCCCAGGATTTTCTAGTGGTTCTCTAACTAATGTCAACCCAATTATGAAATCCTGAAAACAATATAGTCATCAGATTTTAATGCATCTGGAATCACATACAACCTTGACCAGAGACGACGGGGTTCACATTTGTTTAGGCTACTTATTAACAACTACAACATCAAGAAGTTCACCCATCTTACTTCATAACCTAAAGGGGGGGGGTAAGTTCTTACCCATTAACTATGGCATGTAGCTCAAATTATAAACCTTTGAGAAGTTAATAAATTACATAATTCTGAAGGCTAGTTGCAATTAAAATACCTTGTAGTATGAATGATTTTTAAGAAAGAGTTAACTAAGACCAAGTGATAGGTGTATGCTATGACCAGTCATCTGTTCTTTAGCAACTCCGACAGACATCCTTAATATAAGACCTACTGTGATTTGTTTCTTTATTTCATATGACAATTAAATGACGTTACTAGTCAAAAGAATAACATTCACAGAATATGTTCGCCCCTTACCACAGATCTGAAGTATCTTTGGTAATATCGTTACATCATCTAGAAAATGAATTCTAAAACCACATGATCTGGATTACATTTTGTGGTGTATACACGACCTTAGAGAATATTTGCTTTACTCTAAAAGTAGAATCTTAGGTAGTTCTTAGCACGAATACAAATCTAGTTATTCACAATTCCTATGAACAAGTGAGTCTTCAGAAGTTAAAATAACCATTGAACATATCAAACGTTACTTAGATGAGCATCAAAGCAAAGAAATATCAATCCTGCAGGAAAAGATTCAAAGAATTAACTGTTTATAACGCAGTCTCGATATTACTAAGTCAGCAATCTTGAATAATTTGAACAATGATGTTGCGGTGTTTCGGTCTTAAGAATTAGCCTTGCTGATTCTCTGCTATATTTAGTTAGCTCAAGGTTTTGATTGTAATCGTATTCTCTGCTAACAGTTACTAAAATTATTAACACTTGAAGAAATAATTTGTCCAGTATATCGTTCAATAAGAACTTGATGATGCATGTAACCACTAAATAAGAATAAATTATCGCTATTATTACTGCGTAAAAATTCAGACAGTCACTTTTTATGTTAATTTACCGTGAAGAAGATAAAAGGGAGAGAAAATTAACACACAGTGAATTAGTGGCAAAGGATGAAGCAGATACGGAAATATGACATAATAATTCAAAGGACGTTAAGGTATGAAATAAGCTAAAAGTGTAGCTTATTTGAGCCATATAACCTAAAGCATTTATTAGTATTATTATTATCGCCTTGCTTTCCGAATGGAACGTAGGGTTTCAACAACACATCTCCACCTTCTTCTATTTTCTGCCGTCCTCTTCAGCTGGGTCCACAATTGCTCATAATCTCTCATCTCCTCTTCGCACGATCTCCTCCATGTCACTCTCGCACCAACGGTCCACTCGTCGCTTCCTACTTGGATTCCATAATCATTACCGACACCATTCAGACAATCTACACCTTCTTACATGTTTCAAACTATCATCCAATGATGCTTACACATATTCAAAAGTGGAAAAATATTTTTTTAAATAATAAATATAGATTACAGTGCATACCGGTAATCAGCACCCCATCCTTTTACAAAACTCATTCGTATCGTGCACATATTAGTCAATGAGTAAACTGCTTCAAAACCTTTAGTTACATTCTCAGTAAGTAGATTAGCGAATTCCTGATTATTGAATATCTTCAAATTACATCCGGGTGGAATTTTACACACCGTTGCTGGATGCCATTTATACATATAATTACAATTTGGAGATTGAACAAATATAGCACTATCACTGAGGCATTCCGCAAACACTTCACCACCAATATAATACAGTTTAACACCTTTGCCTGTAAAAGAAAAACAACAACAATAAATATGATCGATTATTGATACTAATGTGGTAATCAAAATTATCAATAAGTAAATGTTGTTTATGCCTGTTAATTTCTGTGATAACAAACGCTAATTTAAAAAAAATATATTTTAAGGAGAGCTTTGCATATAGTGTTTTAGCAGTTCAGCTCTGTGCAGATTGATTTTAACATTATCATTTGAAACAATCAGCATTACGCCATTATAATAGTTTCAGAAACAACGACTGAGTTTTCAACACAGAGCACTGGATAGAGGTGCAGCAGCTCGAACATAGGACATAAAGGTAGCGAGAGAGAATAAGAAATTAATGTATGTAGGAGATTACAAAGAGTGAATGCATTTGCACTATTGAGAACGATTTGCAGCCACATACCTACAGTCTCAAGCCATCGGTTTTTAGCGTCTCAATGGCCTCAACCAAGTAATCTATATCTCTTTACTTGACTCATGGATTGATATCAAGTCTCCATTTGATCTCCCCGAAGTCCTTTCCAATCTAGTCCTATAGCTCGGAATGCATTACATGTGTCTTAACCATCTCAATGTAACTTCGCAATCTGGTCGATTGAATTGCCGTTCTCACCTAAGACTCTACGCCTAACCTTAATATTACTCACCATATTATGCCACTTAACACGAAAGATAAAACGCAAACACCTGTGGTCAGAGAAAGAAAACCTACAGATCTTCGACTTTTAACGGCTACGCTTAACAGCTATGAAGGACAGACAGAAGTGCGGCACAGTACACACGGATATAACATCTACACGCCAGGTATGGTGTAAGCTGTCAAACGCCACAAAAGAATTTTGTATCTGTGCTAAAATTTCGTCAGCAATCAGCCCATTAAGGCTGCTGCAACTTCCCAAATAGGTGAAGTGGTCAGCACACTCAACTATCATTAGACTGAAAGTCAGTGCAGACTACTTTTACAGAATCATCTTACGTTTGACAGGGTCGCGTTGCATGTCAAACATCCCAAGGTTTCCGCTGAAGGTATTCAGAAGACTCAGTCTTATTAGTGTCTTCATCTAGAAGGACTATATTACCTGCATACCCTAAGTCGACGAGAATGTACTCTACTCCCTAAGTCACTAAGTCAACTACGGCTATATCGACTAATACATTTGTGATGAAATTAAATATAAATGGGGACGCATACTACTGTATCATTCCTTCAGATGACAACACTGGGAACAACGATGAAGCATAAGTGGTACTCAGCGCAGAAGAAATAGAGATAATGCTGACAAGTCTTTTAAGCGGTGACAATTAATTTCTGATCAGCAAGTTTCAATCACAATGAATAAATCCATATAGTGAACAAAGGGTGAGGGCAGTCATTGAAAGCTGATATTGGTAGAAAGATTGGTGACTCGATTTCAGAAGAAACAGTATCAGCATATAAACTCAACCAATAGTCATAGTGCAAGAAGTATTAGATACACAGCTACACACAGATAAACACCTTGAGAAGCCTCTACTAAGATCACTAATTGTGTTATTTAACTGTGCTATATAAAAGCATACATCATAAGATTGGATATTCTACCATATTACAAAATGAAGAATGGCACATCATTGAAGCGCAAAATACCTAACTAGAATATAAGGGAATGCATACAGATGATACCAGGTATTAATGATATACAAGCATAACAATACTAGCACTAGTGGACAAACAGACACCAGAGGGAATTCGCAAAAGCAGAAATGTCATAAAAACAGGCAATACACTCGTTACTACATCTATTAGGCCAGAATTCCCCCTATTTCGATTATAGAAATGAATACATTCACTTGCAACCACACAAACACACACACACAAACACGAATACACCCATGTATTTTTCAAGTAATACACTAAGTCGTATTTGGATTTCAATTGATTTTCATTCATTCTCCTGTTAATATTACACTCCACTCCTTATTGATCTGTAGAGAAAATCAATATATATATATATGAATGGTAAGTCACAGCAATCTTCCGCGCCACCCCCTACCTTACTCCCTACTTTTTTTCGCTACTAACATATCCACCTCCTACGGAAAGAAAAAAGTATGAAAAATATAAACAGGAAAATGGAGGAAGAGAGATAAGATAAAAAAAGAAAGAAACCCTCTATGAAGTAAATTATTTATTGTCGTTTATGCCTATTTCATTCTATTGTAGTAAAAATCAATCAACTGAGCGTGAGATGCATAAATAACTAGAAAAAATAAAATAGTGAAAGCAAAAACTGAAGAGTTATAAAAACACGTAAATCAATACAAAGATTACTGACATAACACAGAACATCAAGTCTAGTTTCAAAATATAATCTCAACTGCACGTAGACAAAAATACAGAGATAGAGAGAGAAAGAAAAGCTGAATATAGGCATAAACTGCAATAGACTACTAAAGCATCACTTGACTCCGTGACACACACTGGTTAAGCACCAAATGTTTCATTTCAAAGGACGGTAATCAATGAGTCAATTAATTGGAAAGTTTCAGTGTAGATTTCATTACTAATTAATATCCGTTGGAGAACCTTCAGTGAAAATCATGGAGTACTGCACAATTGTTTCGTTCTAGTTTAGGACGTATCAGCAGTGAGCATTCATAACCAAGCCAAAGACAGAACTCAGGACCTATGTGACCAGATCGCTGACCATTTAGCCAAAGAGCTGAGAATCGGTAATCTCAAAAATTACATCGATTCGTGATATTACGCGAAATCTACATTGAAAGTAATCGAAGTCTGTACAAAACACAAAATCTAAATATCGATCTCCAGCTCCTCATTAGGGGTTGTTGGATGGGTGTGCTGAAGTTCTAATGACATGTCATAGCTGAGGGGGGCTACTATAGCAGACACGAAGCAGATGTTGATGGATGATATTAGCTGACGGTGGTGCCACATCACGAATTGATAGAAGTTAGAATTTACCAGTGATTGGGTTTCAACCTGATGGCTGAACGGTCAAAGAGCTTGCCTTGTTATGTGAAGACCCTGGGTCCAATCCCTCACAGGTTCATCCAAGAGTATTGCAGGCGAGACCCAAATTAGGATGGGAGAGATGTCAAGAGATCCTAGATTTTCAATGATTCTTTCACTTATATCGATTAGTGAAGAGTAGCACACTGAAATCAATAAAAATGCCTAAAAACACACAAAACGTGTGAGAATAAAAATCTTTGTAAACTGGTCTAGATGAAGTTTATATTGAGACTGAGATGAGCACTTATCACCTCAGATAAAGTTAACGCATTTATAGTCAATCATTCAAACACAAATTTCTATTTGGGTCCACACCAAGATCGCATCCAGTTGCAGATGAAAGAGGGTCAGGGGTAGACTCCCTTATAGTCAAAAGGTGTGCAATTTAGTCTCTTTTTGTTAACTGGAGATGAAACTGTATCACCTATAATATCACTGTAAAAATACTTATAACTGAACAGAAAAAGAATGACAAATATGTACGAGGATAATATGAACCTCCTTTTTTATTCATTTCACGAATCTCCCCTCAACTAGCTACCACGTGAACAATACAAAAGTATAAATTACCTGAAACATTTGAGGGTAATCTGTACACGATGACAAGAAGTGATTGTGATAGGAACTATAAGTTAATGACATTAATTCAGAATGGTGTTCAACAGCGTTCAAAAACAAGAAGTACCTTCGATTAAATAGCTCACACAAGTATCTAACAGTGCAATTGCACGCCATCTACTGGACACATGTCATATTGTAGACAATCTTCTGTATTTTGTATGTTTATATTTCATTTAGACTTTGATCTCTTTGCATAAGTTACAAAAGTGTACCTTATGAGCAATGGTATATTAATTTTATGTCTCTGTTAACCAAAATTCATGTAATCCTTGCAGAGTATGTTAAAATCTCTCTGTATCCATCCTTAATTAACTTTTAGGCTAGTTGAATCCAGCTGAAGAGAAACCAGTGAAATTTTTTTTTTAAACCAAATTTCTTTACGCAAAAACAGACAATGGTGAGCTTTGTGCTACCACTGGTGATTTCACTTACAAACCAAAATTTATGGAATTTTGATTACGTCAAACATTCTCCTCTACATCTCCTGGTCTGTTCAGAAAATTTTATTATTGTTTTTTTCCTTCACCTAAACGTCAATCAACTTACTCTCTTTTTGCTATTTCATAAAAACATGTTGCATTGATATACTTTTTCTTGTTAAAGTTTATTTTTCTTTTTTAATAAAAACTTCTGTAGTTGTTTTAATATTTAATGCTGATAGTATTATCAAAGTAATAAACTTCACTTCTGTCTAAAATTCTCTGAACTCTGTGTCCCTTTCTTCAAGATTATTCGTTTAACTATGCCATAATTAGTCAATCCTTTTAACACTTAATAATTTAACAACATACATCATTCTGAATTAATGTCATTTACTTATAGTTACTATCACAATCACTTCTTGTCATCGTGTACAGATTACCCTCAAATGTTTCAGGTAATTTATACTTTGTATTGTTCACGTGGTAGCTAGTTAAGGAGAGATTCGTGAAATGAATAAAAAATGAGCTTCATATTATCCCCGTACACATTTGTCGTCCTAGCTTTGTTCAAGTTTACTAATAGGAAGAATTGTATGAATTTTATAAATTATTATCTACTGTAAATAAGTATACGTATGAATATACACAGATTAACCTACCAATATGTCTTCGTGTAAGTTCAATTTGATGTCCTCTATTTACATTGGATAGTAGACCAAGACAGAAACGATTATGTCTATTAGGATCTGTGAAACCATCAACAGTTAAACATGGACTAGAACAATGAAATGTATCACCGACTCGTGTATTCATTTCATAATAGTATAATGAACACCAATATTCAGGTTCTTGATAGGCTACTGAAGTCATTTCATTACCATCAATAAGGACATCACTCAGCATATCTATAAGACAACATAGATGAAAACATATTTCAGAAATTGACTATATAAAGCATCAAAAATTATGCAAGATGAAAACAAAGGAAAAGTCAGTTTGACGAATTCAAGTTGCTTTCCACTGTAAATGATACGCAGGTTAGGCAAAAAGAAATTTTTGAAAACAAAACAGTCCGCAACGTTGAGATTTATGTATTCCGTTTCAAGTTCCACTAGAAAAATACATGTTCTCAACTATTTGAATGAAACGATGATTTGACTGTTTTAAGTTGCATACAACATAAATTTTCACATAGTAAGCAGTTTATGTTACTTAAGAAATTGGTGGAATCCTGACTTATATAAATATAAGCTGTCTATCAGAAGCCTGAACGATTCACACAGTTCACAGTTATGAAAGGGAGATGAAACGCTAAGATTTAATGAATCTGAACAAACGAAATTAATTGTTACTATTCCCTTGCATTCCAAGTGGAATATAGGCCATTAACTGCACATCTCCATTTCGTTCTGTTCTCTACAGCATTTTCAGGTGACCTCGTGATTGTTCATACGCTTTCACTTCCTCTTCACACGATCTCTTCCACATCAACCACAGACCCATGGTTGACTGACTCGTCATTTCCTATCCGAGTTGCACTCAAAATTGACATCACTCAACGGTCTTTTCAATGCACATCCAAAACCATCTCTATTCCCTTCTACATATTTGTTGGGCAATAGGTCCCTGGTCGGTTTGTTCCCAGAGTTCCCTGCTGGTAATCCTTTCTGATCATCAGATGTTTAATATCGAGCAAAAGCAGTTGTTGATGAATGTCTGTAGTCTTTTAGGAATGCTTGTTGTGGCACGGGGAAGCCTTGAAAAATGTAAGCGGCATCTATATCTATTTTTTACGTCGTTGAAACTACTGAAACGTACTACGTAAGTGCAAACTGATTGAAAAGCTTTTATTCGTAGGAAACATTAAGGTGAAAATAAATATATCAGACGATACAGGCCACCTTATGCTGTAAGTTCAAAGCAGCACACACTAAACAGTATTCACGTTCAAAATCTTCTCCTGGCACAAACTGGCAATTTACTCTTTTTCAAATTTTTTTTTTGCTTCAGTTGCAGTATACGTGTTGGTAATTTAAGCTGAAGCATCATCTGGCAAAAGTGTGATGAATTATGTCGATACCATTAATTATTTGATTTTAAACAGTATCTCGGTTGTCTAAAATCTAATTATATCCAATTAGTTATAATTATACACTCCACAATACACAAACATCTAATTATGTCCCTTTGGAAAGTGTATATAGAATTGAGAAAGTAATTTAAACCTCGAAGAAATATCATGCCACTCAATAACAACAACGGTAACGAATTGCAATCTCCGGCAGCTGGCAATGAGTCAAACCCTTTTGTGTGAGGGCTAGTCCTATTCTATCTAGCTATCGAAATCTTATTGGATGCAGTGGGATGCGACCATGCGAACCTAGACCAGTGAGCCGCAGCTTCACAATTTAAACTTTAGTTACGTAAAAGGCCACTGTACTCATGCTTTGTGAAGATATGGAAATGTTGAGGAAATCATTATATAAGAGGAAAAAATCCTATGAGAACAAAATACCACATAAAGAAGGATAATAAACATCCTGTTCCAACGTATTGGAATGATGACAAGGCAATCATTCGGGAGTTCGAAAACTCCCCGTTCGACAGCACAATGAAGTACAACTACTTTTATGTTAATAAGAATCTTATGGTGCCTCAGTGGTACAGCGGTAGAATGCTCGCCAACCACACAGGTGGTCCGGGTTTCGATTCCCGGCCGACGCACTCCTTTACCTCACTAAGTCAGTAATAAGACTGGTAAAGAGGGAAGGTTGGGCATGAGGCTAGCAACCTCATCCCGTAAAAATAAATACCACTGCTACTGAAACTTCCAAGCTCTAGCTTGAATCCCTATGTTCCACTGGGAACGTAAAGGAATAAAAGAAAAGAATATTATGCCTAATCTTAGGGTTCCCTTGAAATATCTGGAAGTATGACAACTTGAACCGCTGTACTTGTGCGCAAAGTTCTACGCTGAAAGGCACTCAGCTAGTCAGCAAGTACTCAAACGTTAACAACTATCGATAAAAAAAACAGTAAAATAACTTAGCAAAGTGTTGTTTCCTTTCTACATCATATAAAGGTATGTAGTTAATTACAAATAATAATAATTATTATTAAAACCTCATTAAACTATTCATTATTTAATCATTAATCTAAACAGTTAGGCAAGGTGTGTACATAAACACACACACACACAATATATAGTGTGAAATTGTATCTATTTTGATGAAAGCAGCGCTCGCAATTACGTACTATAAATTTATGCTTTCATATGCAGCTATGATGTTGCATACACCTACACAGGGAATTTAGTTTATTTCATGTATAAACACTAGTTACAAATGAGAAAACGTCAGTTACAATGCGGAACAACAGAGAGAATTCTAGAACAAACCACTTCAACTTTCAACACTTTATTCACGTACCTAGAAATAATTTATGTCTACATAAACACTCAGACACATATACACGCACGCACGCATACATCACTACACCACCACATCTGCATAAAAAACTATATGTTATGTGAATTATAATAATAGATTATCGCACGAATAAAACAACTGAAGGTTTTTTACTATATCCGGATTTTTATATACACTCCTACTTTCATCGTCATAAACATTGTGGTCCCCATATCAACAAAAGCCAAGCTTTCATGACTGTCCAGTTATAAATAAATAATATTAATGTTGATAACACAATTTCAAAGGATGAAGGTAGGAGAGATAAGCAATATGAAGAAAACTAAACAGGGTAATTAAAGCCCCTATTCACTGCACTCTACCATAATAGTTTTATTATTATTATTATTTAAGGTTAGGAAATATAAATTATTCATGATATGGCCTAGGAAACACGTACTAAAAACGCTCTAATATGGTTTTGTAAAACACTACGAACTGTCTCATACCATAACATAACTGAAACACAAATCCAACTCAATAATTAAAATTAAATATAAACACTTAACGCATATGATTCACTCTTATTTATTAAGGGTTATTGGTATTAACTACTGAATGTCAACACAGAGGATACGTGTTAAAAAGAGCTGAGTACAGAGAGCAGCAAAACGTTATGTGGCTGATACATGGATGCGGAAGGTAGATTTGTGACAATCTTAGTTGATTTGACAACTGTCACTTTGACATCACTGCTCATATGGAATAGTATCCATCTTTGAGTAAAGAAAAATTTAATAGAATATTTCGTAATAGAGACAAATCAACTGAGAACCTCCATCGACTAAGGTGGTTGAGTTACATGAAACGTACTGTCGAAATCAATGTCTTCTGTTAATCGGAAATTAGATGAAGGTTTTTACAATAAGAAAGTCAGTCTCACCTTTGTAGAGAGATGTAGACTTCACAGGCGATGCATATAAGACAAGTGAATTAAGTGTATGAAGATTACAAAGGCAAAAACAGTGTTCGATAAAACTTCGACACTCCTGATCACTGATCCACGTTGCCTCACACACGGAGTAGCAGATAAGAATTCACATGAATAAGAGGTGAATAAATCCCTTCCTTCTGCACTCAATCAATCCTGAGTCAAATTATAACTCACCATTTCGATTACGCCAAAAGTGGCAATTAAGCAAATTACACTTATTTACATGACTCGGTTTATGAATCAATGTTGCGTTTTTATTTAGTTACTTTTCAAAACCAGTTCTGCATCAGTTAATTTAAACGTACAATATGTTTCAGTCACCTTAATCAATGGAGATTCACAATTCCGTATTAATTTGTTTATTGTCAATTTTGTTTATTTACCAATTGACAACTGATAAGATTATGAACAACAAGTTGTTTTTGTAACGTCATTCAGTGAATAATACTGTTTCACAATATGATATATTCAATAAATAAGTAAGTATGGAATTGCATACTACGATAGTGTTCAAGTTTTACATTCAGTAACATCTGCGTATCATCAAGAGATCAAATAAATACTAACCTAGATCCATATTGTCATCTTCGCTAATACAGTTTTCTTCAACTGAAGACAGCGTACCAGGAGAGTTTACGGAGGGACCAACACCAGCAACACTTGAAGCTTTATGAGTTGTTGATGAGGAAACTGAAGAGGATTGACCCATAAAACTTGTACCTAAATTATCCGTATTTTGACCATGACATTGAGAATCGTTAGATCGATCTTCTTGGCATCCAGAGACAGGAAGTGAAAAATCACCAAGACTGAGAGATCTAATAAATTAAAATAAAATAATTTTTGACATTATTGGAACAAATAGACGTTATTTACACAAGGCAAAACAAGATTATGTGAACGCAGAATGAAGTATAGAATCGATATATGTATAGCTCATCACAGGTTAGACAATTGAATCAAGACAGTAAATAAAAACAGTAGCTAACATATCTTGAATACTATATCGTAGACATGTGCACAGTTGTGCATCAGGTAATGAATCACAGTCATTCTGTGTACAGCGCCAGTGATCTTAACTGTATGACTGCGTTTCAAAACCCTAACTAATGAACTACAACTTCACATTATTGCTATCGTCATGCCAAATAATTCTGGACTTAAGTGAGTAACAATAAATTAACAAATAATAGCTCAGAGATTACATTCAGGTATGAATATGCCAATATTTCAGAAACCAATAGCATAAGAGAATAAGATACACAGTACAATTCCATGTTATTATCACGGGAGAAAATAAGATCACTCAGTTATACGCTACCACAGTGTCCAAGTTCTATTTGCATGCTAGAATTATTACCTTGCTAGGTTCGGCTGATACTTTGAATACTTATCCCTATGAAAACACTTTATCCATCTTTATTTTAAGTAACTCTTAGACTTACTAAACTCTAAACAATTTTTGCGACCACAAATAGAAATCCACTCAGGTTATAAGACTTTAAATACTAATCCCTACGTAAAGTAAATAGTTGAATGAGAAAAATCCTATTTGTGACAATTTCGTTATCCTAAACCGTAAAATTTCTTCTTAGCGTTTGTTCTATTATTGCAGGTTTCTGTTCTGCGGACTGAATGTTGAATCATCCCACTCTATACAACCACAAAGCTATCTGATAGTTATTCATCCCAATAGTCTCCTAAATCTCTTTAAGTTTAGTCGGCTACCATCACGCAAAAAAACCCTTTTACGTTGTTTTCGCTCTTCCAAACTGGTCATTGTCATATGCACTGAGTTCTTGTACATTGATTCATAAGTTTGAATGGAATCGGCAAAATACACTGGCTTTTATTAGATGTCAAATAGTTTTAGTGGCTTTTTCTCCACAGAAGAATGTAGGTGATTCTAAGCTATCTAGTGTGTTAGCAATAGTGATTTCAAATAGATGTCCTTATAATATAAATATATATATTTCATCATAACGCAACTGAGAAAAAGAGTTGGAATGACCTAAGACGCCCCCCCTCCTCCAAGAATGTTTTGACACTGTGTGAAAAAAGACGCACCCTATACTTAACAATATTTGACTTTACTCTTACCACTAGCAGAGGAGCTCAATAAGTTATTTTCCATAAAACCAACTCTTTTGTCCGATACTGGGACAGTAATATTGTTACACAGATCGTTCAGTTTGAAGAAACAAGATACTGGTGTGTAGTCAATAGGGTAACTACCATATCCGATCAAGCATTACACTACATCAATACCCTTTGTCATGGATGAAAAATCTTCAACGAATTATTGATCAGTTCACACTGGCTTGACTAAATTAGCAGGGCTCTGAATCTAGTAACTATGATCACGGTCGAAGCATGGCATCTCCAGGGTGTGATGTGCAACTGAATATATATATATATATATATATCAATAATTAATCAAGTTCTACACAAATATTACGCATATGAAGACATAAAATGTATAAACATTAACTCTTAAGTGTGTTTACATTATAAATTATAACATGAAGTCATTTGATAAAAATGTTTTTTTGCTGATAGATTGAAACATCTAAATGTGTATATAAAAATATTTCACCCAGCACTAGTGCTAATCCCTCTCTCTCTCTCTCTGCCACACACACACACACACAAACACACAATGTGCTTTTTTAAACTATCAAAAATCAACCAAGTCGATATATCCATAAGCATAAGAATGATATCTACATCAATTCACCTCTTAATTTAATTAAAAAAGAAATTTGGCATTAGTAGTAATAATTCAAAATAACGGTGAATAGAATTTAAGTAGTGTCATATTTTCTAAACCCTGGTGAAGTCCCTAGTCTTACATGGAACAAAACTTTTAAAAGATTAAGGCTCTTTTGATAGCACAAAGAGAGTGCTATTATCATCAGGAAGTCTGTTACAATACCCTCAAATCATAAAACTTTTAACAAGTATTCAAAGAAATGTGAGAGTAATTCGATTCAAATAGACGAACTAAAAGCATATGAATTATAGCTAAGACAAGCAAAATATAGCTTTCTAAACTGATGAGTCATTGCAAACATATCAGGTAATAACAAACCTTGTAGTAGCACTATGAATATGATTTGCTACACCGAGATTGCGGGCAAAATCTCGTCCATCACCACTCAAACTTGAAACCACGTTCATAAGAGATGACTGATAACCACCTGTATGAGGTGGAGCAGGAGGTGTCCCAACCAAATTAGGTGTACCGCCCAACGTCATATTTTCTGCTGCCTGGATGTAAATAATGAAAAATCCGTTACAAGACATTATAACTTTACGTTAAGAAATAAGATGGTGAGTAAAACATACCTATGAATAATAATTACTACACCAGACAGCACAATGACAAACAGAACTTGTTTACATTGTGAAGCACCAAACGGAGATTCGCATGTAATGTATGACCAGATGATGATGATACTGTCTAACTGCTTATACACTCTAGTGAGTGGGAAAATTTTTACAAATGAGGCTACCACTAGGCTGTATGTTTTATTTCATCATTGACACAGTGTAATTACATTCCTACATGGTAAGCATTTACGAATCTCATATCTATACAGAACTATACGGTCTTCTCAGAATAAACTCAATGGAAAGTATTTTCTTAGATGAATTCGTCTTCTTAAAGTCACTGTGTATTATTATGATCATACGACCAAACCTAATATTACCAATCGTTTGGCTTCATCAAACATGACTGTAAGTTCACTTAGTAAAACCAATTATGTAAATCCAGTCCTCAATGTTCATAAGTCATTACTGTTTATTCTCTAACAAACGAACAAAGATAATCAACATAGAATTTACAGTGTAATAAAAGGGAAGAGACGCAAAAATTATTAATACGTATATTTACCTCTCGTAGGCTAACACATGGTGGGTGTGTTCCACCGATAACACCAGCATTCTCTAGACCAACCATTGCTCTAGTAGCCGCAGAGTATGCATCGAGTGCATCACCTCTGGCTAGAGCAGCAGCTGTAACAGCATCTGTAGCAAGATGTTGTCTTGGTTGTTTAGACGGAGGTGCTAATAGGGCAGCTAAGCTGTTCGGTTCAGAACCACAGTCGTCTCCTAACATCATAGGATCATTCAATCCGGTTGTGGACGCATGATGAGCCTGTAAAGCGTTTAAATGATGTTGTTGTAACTGTTGTTGCTGCTGGTGTTGTTGAAGTCCTTGTTGATACTGATTATGCATAGAATATCGAGAGTGATGAGAACTGAAACAAGACCCTCGACCATAACGTTCACCAGTGTCTGTCATACCACGATGTAAATTATCATTATTATTTCCAGAGGTACCATTATTGACTGTACGTGGGACCATTATTGGTGGAAGAACTGTACAGGGAAGAGTAAAATAACAATAAAAGGTGACACAAGTGATAAGAAAATTTCACATGTCTATATACATATATATATACGTATTTAATACATGAAATGAGCAAACCAAGAAATTATTTGAAATGCCACTTACAATTTCTCATAAATTTGGATATTTTAGAAAGCACATATAAAAATTATGTTGCTTTAAGTGACAGACACCCACAGCATTAATGGCACGAAAAACTGAATCAAACTTTCCTAGTAAATATCAATCACTAAGGTGGTGACACCAAACTCATTTTCAAAAATAGTTAAGGACATTTTAATTATCAAGAGACAAATGTACTTCTATTAAGTTTGACTTATATCACCAACAGAGTTCGAACTACGGCGAACCGTTAAATTTTCAACCAATGGGTTGCGAGTTTCAAGCCCACTCCATCTACCGAGGTTTGAGCAGCCAGGCAGTATCACTAGCCTTCACACATTAGGTTTGCATGTATTTGCAAGTGATTGTTGAATAACGTTCTCTTTCTTTTCTTCTACTGAGCTATGAAGAAGAATGGAGGACTTAAGAGTTTTTACGAGTTGATCACGGATTGATATCAGTTAGAGAACCATTGAAAACCAGGGAGTACTGGACAGCTGCTGTTTCATCCTAGTTTGGGAATCATCGACAGTACGCACCCACTGGGATTCGAACCCAGGACCTTCCGGTTACAAGGCAAGCTCGTATACCATTCAGCCAAATACATCATTAGTATCAATTATTATCCGCCCTAAATCTTAAATCCCTTACTATTTTGCTTATTTTATTTGACATCAATAGTAACCAATAACTAATCTAGACATTTAATTCTAGGAAGTTAATCAGTTAACTGCGTTATAAGGTTGATTAAACTCTTCTACCTATGCTGTACAATTTGCATACTAACATTAATTTATCGAATTTCATAGGATGACAAAGCTCAAAAAACAATGAAACTAAAATGAAGATTTGTTAGTCTCTCCTGGTAAACATCTTCGGGATAGCTGGTTAACTCCTGAAGTCTGTGTAGTAAAAGTAATCGAAAATCAGATATATTTAATGACGAAAGGGTTTATAAGACTGGTTACTGTTAAATAGATAGTATCTGGTTTATATCTCCGCTTAATGCAGGTCGTACTATATGATGACAGACTTCTGAGCTTAGTTAACCGCATTTCTTGCTTGCTTGCTTACACAACAATAGAATGTATCTACAACAACGATGAAACTCATATCAATGAAAATAGTGTTATGAAGTATAAGAATTTCAGAAGTCAACGATTAGGATACAGAATTCGACTAACAATTCAGAAGTAAATTATTTTAAAGTTGATAAATAGATGAATATCAGCTTTATCAATAAAGTTAAAGCACAAAAATAATAATGATAACGATGACGGTCAAAGTATACAAACAGTTAACACAAACTTAATTAAAGTTTGAGGAATGGAATTTCAGATTCAATAACAAACAAACAATTAAGCTTAGAACAGCGAATTAGTACCAAAAAACAGTAAATGAAACATTGTAGAATACCACAAACGAAAAAATCAACGCAAAACACAACAGCAAAATAAACTTAAACCTACTAACACTGTGATATTCTGTACACAAAATGCTTTTGTAACAATCCACAGAAGTTACTATGATGTGTAGATTTTTTTAGATAGCAACAGCATAATAAGAATTTGTCGAATAAGTTTCATAAACCATATTACAATTTGAAAGTGTACGTAAAAATAATAATCAAAATAATCAAAAAGGTCACCAACAAACATCAGATATCACTTTGTGCAAAAAAGAATCTGTCAAACAGAATACACCTGCAGGCGGTAAACAACAAGGAAGATGAAATTAAGCATCGTTTCATTTGTCGAATAAGTAATTGGCAGAGAGAAACACATGGTTTCCAACCCTGGCGGTGGTTGCATACTCCAGAAGAGTCCCAAACTAGGACGAAACGAATGTCCAGTACTCCCAGGTTTTTCAAACTGACGTCAGCTCATGATAAAATCCTCCAACCAGTAAGAACACATATACCCATGCAGACATAGACAATAGTGTCGTCTTAAGCTGTTACAATATTTGAAACAAAACACTTATGTTATCTGTTTTACAACAAATAACTCTCCAAGATTCATATTATAAAAATAGCACAAAAAGTTGGTCAAACAGTGAGATTTTATTGCTCAAATATACATTGTATTGGATGTGTATAGTTGATGTAGGCATTAGCATACATGATTTCATATAGAAAACAGAATAATATCATTAGAAGTTTTTGGTTTTATGTTTCAAGTACCATCAGATGATGCAATATTAAATATCACAATTGGACGTCAACAAAGCAGGTCATTAGTCGAGTAAATTAATAAGGCGTATAGTTCTTAGAAGACTGATGATAAATACAACAATACCACTGCATTTAATACCTGTCTCAAATAAGCGTTTTCATAACATACAAAACTCAAATTATTTTGAGTCCACACAAATAAATTATTCCTCAACTCTTTAAATGAATAGTGTACAAGATTATCACCAAGGATTCAATAGGCAAGCGTACTTTTCAAACTACTAACCGGTAGTGATGATATTGCTCTGACAAGTTGCTGAATAATCTTGAATATAGGGCACCCTATACACATACCTACACACTTGTATATTCCTTCCATATTACCTCTTAGATGTGAAGAAACTTAAAATATATTCCTCTTCAATTACAGGTAATTGAAAAACCTGTTATCCTAACTAATTTTCTCTCTCTTCCATTTTGTGCTATTTGAACTGGTGCATTTATGTGTGAAGAGAATATGCTATACTGTAATAATCAATGGTGTATTCCATTATGGGTAAATTTTATTTTGATAGAGTCTCACAGTCTATCAAAATAAAATTTACCCATAATGGAATTACACTCTACCACAGTGCCCAAGTTTTATTCTTATATCAATCAATGGTGTATATAGAAATTTTAAAAAATTACTTGTACGAACCTGGATTTTCGATTCTTCTATAGTGGTAAGGGTTAATGCAAACCTCATCACGTTTGGACTGGAAGGAATATTCACAAGTAGCAATAGGGCGCAATTCATGTTGAGTATGCAGATCTGGCCATCGCCAGAGTTGACAGTAAAAAACGTGTGGTAGCCCTTTTTTCTGAGCAACCTAATAATATAAAATCAAGGTATGAGAACAGAGTAAAAAATATAAAAATATGTAGTAAGAAACACTAGAATGACCCAAGAGTTAAAAAATTTAAAACCACACATAAATAAAAAAATAATAAAGCACATGATGTAAATTTAGAAGAAAAAGTTATTTTACTTCATCCTAACAGACCAGTATGGAATTCTTGGTCTCATACAGTTAACATCAAATAAAAAATTTAGAAACTATGACTTAAATAGTGTAATCATACTAAGAAAGGAATGCAAGGATCGGTACAGAAAAAAAACAGCATATTATTACTCAACACGAAAAAACAACCATTTCTTTCATGGTTCGTGGCCGTTATCTGCACTGCTATGTGTAGCGGTCATTAACAGCAGTTCAGTCAACTGATTTTTTACTCGAATAAGTATTTATATGACCAAGTCCACTCCATATTTTTTTACATACCACATTTCCAGACAATGAGATCACTGAGACATTAGACATCAATTCTTGGAGAGCCACAACCTAGCGAAGCATGAATGAGACGTGAATATCGGTTCTACAACGTTGATCAAAGATGCGAAAGGTGCCCCAAATGTAAAGGGGAGCAAAGCATATGTAACGGATTCGAGAATTACTTAAGGATGACGGTCACTATTTATTCACTGGATTGATTCAGATTATTAGGCAGTCTTAAAAAATACGAATCAGATTAACTAGACTGGCACTGATTGTTATCCCTAACATCTTACTGTTACAGCCACGGAGGTATCAACTCGACTTATGAAGAGTACAAGGTCTTGGTATCGATAGAGCACAGAGAAACTAAGCAGAGAGAATTAAACAGTTCTTTGGACGAACTTGAACTGACTATATTCCCAGTCTTTGGCAAATCCTAGAATAAAATTAACTGTTGGTGTCCGAGGCATACATTGCTTCTCGATCTGAAAACTGATTCCGACTTTGTCTACCAACATATGTTGAAGTGATATCTGGTAGTGAAGGCTAGAAAAGTATGTTGTGCTTACTAAGGCACTCATGTTGCCTTGTAAAATTTTACAGAAGTAACCAAAACCATTGTTTCAGGTGTACTGATAGGGTTATATTTGTTAGCATTCGACTGATGTTTGGCATCAAGAAGACATACAATACAGTGAAGACTGGTAGAATTCACTCCAAAAAAATCGTGTACAAACATTTGAGAGTTTAGCATGCATTCGTTTCTTTGCGAAAATAAGATAATGCCGAAAGACTGGCACGGATCAAGACCTTCAGTAAGTAACTATCAGCTAGTTAGTCTCAGTGACTGAATTGTGTCATCAGCCTACACTAGGTGTGACTTCACATGGCATACAAAAAATGTCTCAGCTAACTGAGTTCTTACCATCAGAAGTGGTGAGTATAAACTCTAATTATCATCAACACACCTCTCTCGTGATTGACTAGAAAACCAACATAGACCCTTGCACAGAAATGAAGTCAACTCATGTTGAAGCAGAAACAGTGGAATAATAAAGTATATTTAAAGTATGCCACTCGACGAAAACCTGAAAGGACAAATTATCATATCACACATCGCAAAAGTGCTACTTTAAAACACTCACTTAAGCATTTCAGTAAGACACTGTAAAAATACTGGTAAGCACACGTAATTTAAGTTGAACTAGCGGCTGTACTAGGCACTATATTTATATTCCAACTTGTGCATATATTCATATAACACCTATTGGCTTAGCGATCTACGATTTCGTACACCGTTTTTATCAAGTTTGCTCCCCTGTAGCCACTAGGATAGAATTTCTGTTTCTGTGTTTTCCAGATCACATGCGAAAATACGACTGTAATCAAACTACGTTGAATTTATAAATACAAACGGTAAGGAGTTTTCACACTAAAACTAAGATGACGGTAACTTCTAAAAAACTAAAAACACATTACGAAACTACAAATACATAATAGCGCAGTAAATGTGAAGTTGAAGAAAGTGACAGCCAGTGGTTTAACCATGGAGAAAGCAATCGAAATATACCCACAAACTGCTGATACTCAATTGATCGATTTCTTCCATAATGATCATAAAGTCACGCACTTGAACTCCAGTCAACACAGTGCAATTTCTATCAGTTCTATCTGTAATCATGTAGAGTTGAGTAATAAATTTAGATATTTGACTATTACATCTACCTAAGTCTGTATCCTTGGTTGATGCATTCAGCTCTCATAAAAAGTGAGGCTTATTTCCTAGTGCACAAACTCACAAATGGTTATGAATTTCACTTCACTTCTTTCACCTTCCATGAACATGTAAACAACTCACAAACTATTACAACCTAGGTCGAATCAATCATGGGACAGGGAAATTTGAGGTTTCTAAAACAGCTGTAAATAAAGATAAAATGCAAAGGTAGATAGTCATTAAAACACACACGGTAATCGATGCTGAAATATGGTGATAAGTGTTTGACACAGTACTGAAAATACGCTTCAGATACAATGCAACAGCGAATTGGCTTATCAAATAACAAATCCACTTTGCACTAGTTTGAAATATCTTCCAATGGTTTTTACAAAGAATCACTAAGTGGTTAAAATGACTTCACACACTTTTTGTTGGACATGCCTTCATAGCATTACCTGTGTAGTGGAACAACAATAATTATGTTGATACTAAGCATCGGATGTGACCTATGTAGACCGAACACTCGGTGTTGGTAGAAGTCTGCAAGTATGCGGAGTTATTACCTTCCATGAGGAGTAAAGTTAGAAACACGTTGAAAAAAAAGCTGAGCAGATCAGACTAAGAAGTTGGAAGTATCATCAGACCTTGCGCAAGAGGTGTGTCACATTGTAGGATTATGCGCCTCGTAACTACGAAATATTTCACCCTTAGAACCACTTTACAGTAACTTTGAAGATCAAAGAATCTCGTTCATCAGTCCCAATTCAAAGTCCAGTAACTCCCCTGAGGTTACAAGTAGCATATGCACTACTGCATAAACACATGTGGCTAACTAAAAACTACATATACACAACAAGAAGACATTTCATCCATGTTTTCTCCTCCCTATGTATCACCTTTACGTACAACAACTTGAGCACATACAATTCTTTGCAACGTTCTATCTTGTTTACCTAATCCTCTGTTTTCGAAACACATCGCACTTCTAGAAGAGCAAGGCATAAGGTAATGAATTCTTTAACAACTGACCAACTTTTCTAACTGACTGCCCAGAGTAACGCTGTTCAATTATTCTTCACGAAAAGCAGGCGAATCTGTCGACGTACTCAAACTGACTGCCTTGATATTCTACCTCAGACCACCCCCTAATGACAGAAAAGTAAACAAAAGGCAGTCTAAGGGAGAGGAACTACGGTCAAATTTAAGTCCGGTGTGAATGTGCCTTATCGGCAGCAACCTACACTAACAGTTACCCTAAACCAACGATGATACTGTCCTCGTAATCGAGACATACACGAGGATCACACATAACAAATACTTACACTGGGTACTGAATCGGTTCAGAACGACTGACTACACCGACAGCACTGCAGAAAGGAATAGAAAAATGAGTCATATTCAGCCTTCACGTGACATTACAGAAGACCTACATAGTACTATCGATGATATGAGTTTACAGATAAGAAGGTTTACCTCCTAAAAATTACTGGGTTATAGTGGTGACTGGAAAAACGTCAATACAACTAATACGGTCACCAATAAACCTGTGCGGATTGTGGTAAGACAAGTCGCACAGCCATGTGTTGTGAGTACGAAAATGAATACTTTATTAAATAACTGGCAGTCAGCAAACTGCGACATATATACATATATGCAGCCTAAAAAACAACCAACTCTAACAAGGGTTACATTTAGTTAATCTTATTCGTAAAATCCCTGCTGTTTTAGGAATGACCATTTAAAAGCTAGTGATAACAGGAAAGGCCGATACTAATAGCCTAGGTCTCCAAAAGCGGTATCAGGCTCTAGAGAACTAACATAATCTGAGATCTGCTCTATTCATCAGATCTCGTTATTCTCGATGATAATAGTGATCATGTTGTACTGCTAGAGTTTGTGATATAATACAGACCAGGTATAGTCCTATCCTACTATTTGAAGTGAAAACATATCTACCAGGAAGTGGTCAGCTAACTCTGGTTCATCTATGATTGGTGAATGGATGAAACTCGAGTATAACCAAAACGGTTACGGATAAAGTCATAGGTCGGTGACTCCTCACACGCCAACAGAATCACCCCCCACCCGCCACAATAAGCAAACGGAGATTAGAAAGTTTACTCGGCATAAAAATAGGTTAGATAAATTGCTCGTTTCCAGTGGATTAAAGCAGTGATGTCTTGGCTTCAAGATTTACAAAAGCATATGAAATACAACCAGAGGTTTTCTTAAAAGGTTTTTCTAGCATATAAAGATTACATAGAATAACACTTTCCGAATTCTGCCTCTTAACAATACCCTGATATGCACTGGTAAAATCGTATATTATCACTTCAACCAATTATTCCCTCAAACCTGCACTGAGGACTTCACAAACATTCCTGTGTGGTTTGAGAAGCTAATACTCACAATCCAAGCCATAGAAATCCTAGTGGCCCGGATGAAATCCACCCGCAACGGTCAGCATCATAATCAAAAGGTTGTCGTGGCAGTTCAATGTCACCGAATCAATCGCAATCTCCAGGGGACGTGAAGGAACGTATCAATATGATCCTGGAAATGGGAATTAAGAATGCCATTAAGGAGCATCGTCCTATCAATCCAACTAGCTTACTAATCAATATAGAGAACCGTTAGTATGCCGAGGGGAAGGAAAAACATGGCTTCAAGGTTGATCATCTTGTCTCACTCAACCTCTCCAAAGCAAGAAGCTCCTATTGGTTTTGCTTTTGTTTGCCCTACTAGTGTCATTGTTAAGACGTTTGAAAAAGGCTTTTATCATACACTGAAAAATGAACCACACCTATTGTGTGACTAACTGAGACTTAAGAAGCTGATGACTGATATTGGCATACCATATAACTAGCATCAGCCAACCGCCACGCCTATGTAGCAACCATCAAAAGTCAGACATTTGTTGTAGCTAAAGATTTGTGACACTATTACAATAAGTGGTGAGAATGACGTCCTCGTTTAACACATTCAGAAAAAATTAACAAACCAAGAAATTTTGCTTGTTACACTGAGTCGAAAATTTAGAAATACCAAAGTGGAATCGCTAAGACACAAATGTCTACTGAAGAGCGGAAATCGTGGAGGTATTTGATCAATAATAGACGCAAAACTCACCTGTAAGCGTCCATCTAAGGAGCGTGGTATTGTAACACATCTCGTGGATGGATCTTGACTAACGAGAGCACGTTCTAGCTCATCTAATTGAGTTCCATTTTTTAGCCTTTTGACCAGTGACTTCACAGCTTTCTCTTTCCACTTTTCTTCCTTGTCAGAACCTTCTTTAATGTAACTTATCAGACGCTTAACAACTGGAGGTGGACTTGTAAAGAGACTCATTATTGATAGTTATATCAACTAAATAATGTTATCACTCGTCGTGATTATGTAACTGGGATGACTTATAAATTTCCAAACATATATCCTTAGTTATTCTAATGAAAAAATGATCCCCCGACCAGTTAAGGTCAAACAAAGCGCCTTATGAAGACTGCTTGAGAGTGCAAATAATTTACAGCAGTTAAAGACTCAGATTCACATTCCAGCTTTATTAATTTTGGGTGGGAGATTTGAGGCACACATAAGTCTTTTGCTTAGAAGCTTTTCTCGCTTGTCTAAACTGTTCATGAATGAGTCAACTGAAAAGGCTGACACCACTTCTTACGGTTGTTAGTTCGATGAGTTTATGACTTCCTGTGATAACCAATACTCCACTGCTATATAATTCTTCCTTGGCTTTTGAACTATCGTGCTTTGTCCTCTGAGGCACTCTAACTA